GAGCCCGGCCCCGGCCCCCCGGAGGGGCTGCGGGCTGCGGCCGCCCTGCCCGGCCCCGGCGCTGCTCTGTGGGCTGCTGGCGGCCGTGGCCGCGGTGGCCGAGGGCGGCCGAGCGCTCCCGCAGCTCAGCGACGACATCCCGTTCAGGGTGAACTGGCCCGGCACCGAGCTCAGCCTGGTCGGTACCGCGCCGGGCCCGCCCGGAGAGGGGCCCTGAGCTCCCCGCCGCACAGGGGGCTTGGGTGGGGCTGGTCCGGCGCCGGAGGGAGCCCGGCAGCTGGAGAGAATCCCGGGGGATTCTGTGCCGAAAGCGGCGGGGGGTGGCTGGGGCTGGGGGCTGGGGTGAAGGTCTGAAATGGGGAGCAGGAGTGAGGGGGCAAGGAGCGGCTCGCGGATATGGACGGGATCGGGGATCGGGCTGGAAGCAGAAGGTGCAAAGCGAAGGCAGCAGCGAGCAGCTCCCAGCCAGCTAAACCACCTACCCCCAGTCTTGTGGTATAATTAAATCCCAGGAAATACTCTGGGGCGCCGCTCAGGAATTCAGGGTGTTTGTCATGGGTAGCATTAAAAAGCACTAAAAGCCTGGCTGATGCGTGGCTTGGTTGTTTTCTCAGCCGACCACCGGTGTCTTGTACAAGGAGGACAATTATATCATCATGACCACTGTGGATAAAGAGAAGTACAAGTGTCTGCTGCCGCTGATAGCCAGTGGCAACGAGGTGAGTTCAGGCGAGTTATTGTGTAAATATAATAGCTGAGTCTTTGCTCTGTCAGTTTTAATATCATGAGATGTCCTTCTGTTGCAGGAAGAAGAAAAGGACTATAAAGGTCCTACTCCAGGGGAGCTGCTGGAGCCTCTCTTTAAGCAAAGCAGCTGTTCCTACAGAGTATGTTACTTTTGTTCTGTTCATTAAATGCCAATTAAAAGGTTACAGGCCAGTGCATGTCAAGGTTTTAGGGTAGTAAATGAGATACTAATACAGTCTGAAACAAGGTCTTTACAACTTTATGCCATAATATAGCTGACAAAATTCTGTGTGATTAAAGATGTCAGAATTCAGATAAATGGGTTGCTGTGGTAGCAGTTAAAAATACAGATTTTTCTTTTTAATTTCTTTTTTTTCCTTTGGTTAATCTGTGTGAAAGTCAAGGAAATCTTCTCTGCTGTTTTGTTTGGCCAACACTGAGACCACTCGCTGCGCTCTTGTTTTTGAGGATGCTCCAGCATTTTGCTGCAAAAGCCAACATTTGGGTGGTTTTGTGGCGTGTAAATACACCTAAAGATAATTTTTAAAATGCATTTTATTTCTAAGATTGAATCTTACTGGACTTACGAGGTCTGCCATGGGAAACACATCCGTCAGTACCACGAGGAGAAGGAAACGGGGCAGGTAGGCTGCTCACAACCCCTTCCCCACTGGCACGGTCCGGCTGAACTCCTGCAGCAGACTTGAATTGTTGTGATCATTTAGCATGATTCCGTTTTCTGCATGCAGAAAAACTGCATCTTTATTGTACAGGACGTGTTTTATAGCATTATCAGAAGGCACTGTGTCAGAGCTTACTGGCTGACAACACACGCTTAGTTCATTGCTCAGTACATGGTATTTTGCATGTCTATTCTGTATTTTTAGTTAGTTTACATACTTTTTTACTGATTGTCATGAGACAGATCTCTTGTTATTACAGATGCCACTTGTTCTTCACTCTAGAAGTAGATTGTGGTGTTGAAGAACTCTCATTCCCAGAATTGTTTCGTATTGGAACTTGCAAGCTGTCTGCACTTAGAAGTGACAGACTAGCTTTGGCACTTTAGCAGAGCAAGGCCTGATTTCATAAGGCCTTTCTTCTATAACTTCTTTTATCTGTTTGCAACATTGAATTCCCTGAAAAAACTTGGAAAGTGGTAACTGATGTTTGTTCTGATTGTAGAAAATAAACATCCAAGAATACTACCTGGGAAATATGATAATGAAGAAC